GAGAATTCTGGCTTGCCCTGTATCCCCTCTGCCCTGTTCCCTCCCCTTAAAGGAAACACTTTTTTTTTTTTTTTTGAAATGGAATCTTGCTGTGTTGCCCAGGCTGGAGTGCAGTGGCACAGTCTCGGCTCACCATAACCTCTGCCTCCCGGGTTCAAGTGATTCTCCTGGCTCAGCCTCCTGAGTAGCTGGGACTACAGGTGCCCACCACTATGCCTGGCTAATTTTTTATTTTTAGTAGAGATGGGGTTTCACTATGTTGGTGAGGCTGGTCTCGAACTCCTGACCTCTTGATCCACCTGCCTTGGCCTCCCAAAGTGCTAGGATTACAGGCATGAGCCACCATGCCCAGTGGAAACACTTTTTTTTAGCTTTTAGTTTATGCTGTCATTGTTTCTTTTTTAAAATACAAGCAAATACAAATACACATTCATATCATTTATTGCACAAAGGGTGCTATCCTATAAACACAGTCTACAAGTTACTTTTGTTCATGTAACTATATCCTGGAGACAATTCTGTAGCAGTATAGAGCTCTTCCTCACTTCACTTTGTAGAGGCATCTGCTATGTGGATGTGCTGTGGTTTGTTCAGCTGGTCCCCTATAGAGGGACAGTTGGAAATCAGCATTTCTATTAGAACAGGAACCCCTTTCTTATCTAATTCTAGCCTCAGCTCCCTATCTGGAAGGAGAAAACCTCCTCTCCTTGTCAATGAGAACTGGTTATGGTTGGTTGATTTGCTTCTAGTGGCTCACCCGGATGTCAGCTTCCCCTGCGCTGGTAAGATCTTGACACTGTAAGTTGTAGCCTCCTTCCCAAGTGGAGAGAATGAGCTGCCAAAGAACCAAGAAAGAAAGAAAAACAAACATCAGCACAAGAATTTGGATGCAGATTGAATTTCCCATTCATGTCTCTGGCATCTATTCAGGGTTTGAGTAGGAATTTCCCAGAATTTGAGTTTGTCTCAATCCTGTCCTCAAACACCTAATATCAGGGGACTTATTTCCTGCTGTTGAACTGAAATCAATGGCTATTTCCTTAATTAATATATGTTACCTCTAACTATTTACATTGGCCAAAATAACAGATTTTCACTATCATTTGAGTCACAAAAAAATTTTATGTAAGGAATTATCTAGTCATGTTTCTAGAAGTGAAATGCAGAATTAGCTGAAAACAACTGTGAGAGAACTACAGTAAAAATTTAATATTTTGTAATGGTTTAGATATATTTAATCATCTCAATAATTTTTAAAATATATATATTGCCATTTTACAGATATCGAAAACAGTGTTCAGTAAGGTTCTTAAACCATTTTCTTCATTGTATTTATGCTACTTGGTAATCAAACAATTTGGTGGTTAATTGATTAATGTCTGTCTTCCCCATTACTCTCAAAAACCAAAAAGCTCCAAAAAATTTATGCATCTGTTTTTGCTCATCTTTGTATCTACAGTTCCCTGCCCAGTACCTGCTACATGGTAAGTATTCAGTAAACATTTGATGACTATACGATTTGCTCAAGATTACATGACTAGAAAGTGGTAGAAGGATGATTAGAATTCAGAATTCCTAATTCATTGTTTGGCGTACTTTCCACCTCATGAGAAAAT